TGAAGAAGGCAGATAAGGAATATGTGAATGAAAAAGATGAAAAAATTATAGAAAGGGTTGAATGGTACCATGAACGGACAACAAAGATTTTAAAAGGTAAAGCCGATACAGGGTGGGTTTCAGGATGTTTAGACCTTAAAGCCGACAAAGAAACTGTAGATATGTTGACACAAACGGTTTCAAGTCATACCAGAGGTTTAATGGAAGATGGACAACAGTTGAAAGAGCTTGAGAAAGGTGTTACAGAGTTAAGGAATACAAAAGCAGACTCGACATGGATAAAAGGATATGTAGATGCAACAAAAGAACGTATTTTCGCATGGACAGAAGGAACATACCCACAAAAATATCATAGACATAGCATCTCTGACGTAAATGAACTTGAAGAAAAGTTATATAAAAAAGCAGACAAAACAGAGCTTCAAACATTAAAGACAGAAATACTTCAAACAATATATCCTATAGGTTCTATTTACACGTCAATGAACTCTACCAGACCAGAAGTAGTACTTGGTTTTGGAACTTGGACTCAAATAGTCGAAAGGTTTTTGTATTGTGCAAACTCTTCAAAGGTAACAGGTGGAAGTAAAACGATTTCAGGTGAAAACTTACCTGCACACAGTCACTACATAAATTTAACTACAGCTGAAGCAGGTTGGCATAAGCATAGATATTGGGATTGGACAGGAATGACAAAAGGTAAAGGATATGATGTTAAAGACGACGTTAAGTTTGCTATAAATTGTTACTGGGATGACACGCAGGGAGGAGGAAGCCATACACATCGCATTACAGGATATTCGGAAACAACGGGACAGAGTAAAGACTACATGCCACCTTACATGACAGTTTACGCATGGTATAGAAATGCTTAGTCGTCATTTTCAACTTCTTTAGCATATTCGTCAGGAGTTGTCTTATATTTGTTAGGAACTGTCTTTGAAAGTATACCACCTTGAACTTTGACAAGTTTGAAACGAGGTCTGACAATAGTAGTTTTATCTTCTGCTTGCAGTGTGTACATTTTGCCATGTTTGCCTAAAACTTCATAATATTCTCTTGTATACTTTCTTCTATTTTTACGAACACGAATGTGAGTACCTGTCGAGTTCCCATTGTTGTCATAGTCAATAGTATTTTCATATGGGTCGCGTTTAGGTATTTCTATTTTTACTTTGTCACCTTTCTTAAGTTTGAAGCCTGGCATTCTTTCTTGTTTGTCTCTTTTGACTAAACTATTAAATATATAGTCTTTCTCTAAGTCGGGGTTGTTTTTCATTTCTTCGGGGGAGTGGTTTCCCAAACCTTTTTGTTTACGGCTATTGTAAATATTTAAAACTTGTCTCATCTTTGCCATGGAGAAGTGTCTGTACTTGTCGTCATATGACATTTCATCTACCTCACCACCTTGTGGTTGGTTTAAGTCTCTTAAGATTTTTATACAACTGTCAATGACACCAAGAGCAGAATGGTTTTGGTCGACAATGAAATATTGGTTTACATTTTTTGAACGCAGATAGTTTTTAATATCGTCTGATTTGAAAGAACGTTCACAGTCAGATGTCAGTTTTGTTGGATGGTATTTGTCAACGAATATTGTCAAAGCAGTTTTCACATCTAAAATATTTTTGGACTGTAATGGTATGGCTTCACAGTATCTTGTGTTTTGACCGACAAATATTAGCCAGTATGGTGGTCCATCTTCTCTATACCTCGGAATGTTTTCCAAGATATCCATAAACCAAGCATTTGGTGTTGAACTAAAGATTTTTATCATGAGTGCTTTCTTTGTCGCTTTAGAAACATAGGGGTCCTTGTTTGGATTCGTCATTTTTTACCCTATAAGAAATGGGTTTATTTGGCGCATTAGCAGGAGTTGCATCCAGATTTTTGCCCGCAGTGGGAACAATAGCCAGAGGTGTATTTGGAGTTGGAAGGAAGATTTTGAGTACATTAGGTATACTTAAAGAGAAAGCACAACCTATTATACAAACTGTACAGAAAGGTTGGGATGTAGCACGAGATGCAGCAAATCTTATTCCAAATCCTGAAACAAGAGGAAAAGTTCAAGGATGGATGGACAATGTTTCCAGACAAGCAGGAAACTACTATAACAAAGCAAATGACTACTATAACCAAGCAGGGCACTATATGGACCAAGGTGAAAGATTCTTTAACAGAGGATATAACCATGCACAACAATGGGTAAACAATAACCAACCGCAACCACCTCAAACTTGGGGAATGTAAAATTTTTTACTGAGATGAAATGAACAATACAGCATTGAGACAAATGGGTTCAAGATGGATTTGTCGGCTTCCAGCAGTTACACAACGTGTTTGTCAAGTTCTTCCTATACCTCAGGAAGTTTTAGACCGACTTAAAAAACAACAACAACCAGTTGAAAACAAACCAAACTAAAATTTTTTACTGAGATGAAATGACCGAAGAAGTTGAAACGGTAGATTTGACACACACAAACAAAAAGTTCAGAACCATTGTCAAAACCTGTCAAAGAACTTACAGATGAAGAAAAATTCAATAATAGAAAGTGCCAGGTCTGGAAATACAAACCCTAACTATAAAGTCACTTTTCATAGAAATGGAACGGCTAGTATCTCAAAAAAGAAACAGACTCTCACAAATAAAATATTGAAGTCTGAAGGAGCTTTCGAGACAACAGATGGGAAAGTATACTTCACTGACGAACAGTTCATTATAGAACATCTCATTGACTTAGAGTCGAAATATTCTAAACTTTACAACAAACACAAAAAGTTGAAAGGAAAACAAAAACAAATGGCATATGATATTTATGAAGATACTAACGACACTACTGTTCCAGCAAGTGAGGTAAAGTCAGAGGAACCGAAAAGTGACGAAAAACCAATAGAAGAAGGTGAGCCAAAAACTGAAGATAAACCAAAACCAAAGTTTAGTCTCCAGACTAAACCAAGTCAACCTTCATTAGCTGGTATGGGTTGGCGTCAAAGGCTTATGGCAGCAGGCGGTTATGTTAAGTAAAGAAAAAAAAACATTTTTTTATTTTTATAAAAATGCCCCCGCATAGAATGGATAGAAAATCTGCTAGAATAAAAGCAGAGTTGCAAAGATATGGTTGGAGAGTTTCGAAGAATTTTAAATATAGGAAGGGAAGACCCATAAAAGTCTATGACAAATTGTCTGGTCTTCGCTACGAAATGGACTTGGAAACAGCGCGCGCAAACTATCCAAACAGACTGGAGAGGTTAGAAGAAGAACGTCTTATGGACATGCCTTTCAATGTTACTGAGCCGCAAGTTGAAGGACAAGACGGCTTTGCCAGATTCTACTGGAAACATAACGAACAATTGCATCCTTTGAGAAGGAAAAAAGGTAGTGCAGAGGATGGTCATGCTCCCATGGAAAGAACAAGATATGCATATGAAAAGTACCGTGAAGTTAGAAGTAAAATTACATCTGGTCGAACCTTTACAGTAAACTTTGACGAAGGAAAGAACAAAGAAGGCTTCATGGGTGTACTTGCTGCCATTCAAGACGGAAATAAGAAAGGATACAATCTCAGACTAACCGTAACAGATTTGGACGGTCATATATACTACTCACATGGCAATGTCACAACAGCCGCACAACTTCTTGACGCTTTCAAGACTACAAAGAGAGAACAAATGGTTGACTCCGACTCAGACATTTTGAATGCAATTGAAGGAATTGCAAGTGTCAAGTTCGAATGGTACCAACCTAACCCTCAAGCAGTCAGACAACATGTTTGTTAGATGAGAAATATGAAATGGCATACCATTTTAAAACATTTTTTAAAACAGTATATTTTTACATATATTAAATGCTTCAGGTTGAAAAACAAAGAACAAAAGTAGCAGATACAAAACCGTTAGACTATATCTTTACAAACGCTGGTAGGACTATATCAGATGAAGAAATTTCATCCGGCTCCTACCGCTTTGACTATCCAATTCGTTGGCTTCAAAGTCCTTCAGATGCAAAGGCAATAGGATTTAGAAGAGTTTTGTTTTCAAAAAGAACTAACGCGTTTATGTTTGCAGTATATTTTCACGGTCAATATAGAGGTCATGACGGTCTACTAGACAAATTTGACGAAATGAGAATCTTTACGGTTCGTTCAGACGAAAGTCTTGAGAAGACTCTAAATGACTTTCAAACTCAAATAAACAAATACTACTGGGAATTTCAAGAAAAATACGATTCTTTACTAAATGGAACATACTATCTGAAACTAGAATATGACAAGATGAACTCCACAGTTTCATTTCAAAGGATTGAAAATAACCCTCCAAGAGATACACAGTTTTTATTTTGGCAAGTAGACAAACGTTCTTGGGCACAATTTCTTCGGTTACTAAACCAGAACGAACCATTACCACCTGACGGTCCGTTCTGGTTTATACGCCCACCAGCAGATTTGACAGTTTATAGAAACGTGTTTGACCCTCAAAATGTTATATGTCATGCAAGTTTCAGTTCAAGCAACAATAGTTTTCTTTGTATTGGTAAGGACTTTTATGACTTTGCTTCTAAATTCTACGAACCACCCAGTAACAGTTTCTCTGACTTTCAAGTTTGGTTCACAACAAATGGTGTGCAACATATTGTTCCATTGTACTACGACTTTTATCTCGAATTGTCTTTCATATATAACTACGGAGAAGTGCTGAAAAAGTATTGAAAAATGAGTTTTGGTTGAAAAAAGAGGTGGAGCCAAAAGTGGCTCGACCTCAAAACAAGCATTTTGTGAAGAATATACCACCCCGCGGAATTCCGCGGGTTGCTTTTTATACAAAATTCAACAGGTGAATTTTCATGAATTTCCTTAAGATAGAAAAAGTGAGTTAAAATGAGATTTTTATCGTTGTGGTCCGACGGTTAAGCCACAAACGAATGTCCGACGGTTAAGCCACAAATGGATGTCCGACGGTTAAGCCACTCAAAAATATTTTTTATTTTTATTGTAAGAACAGAAATGACAGTCGAAGCAAAAACGTTCACGAACAAATCTAATGGCGAAACATTCACAAAAGGCACTTACAACGGTATTGAAGTCTTACGTAGAGACAAGGATGGTTATATAAATGCAACAAAGATGTGTCAGCAGTTTAGGAAAGACTTTAGAAGGTTGTTGGAAAATAAGTCCTGGGAAGAGTATTTTAAGGCATTTTGTGAAGAATATACCACCCCGCGGAATTCCGCGGGTTGCTTTTTATACAATGTTAATGCAGGAATTCCCGATGAAATCAAACAGGTTAGAGGAATGTATGTAGACCCAAGACTCGTAAACTATATTGCAATGTGGGCTTCTCCAAAATATTGTATAGCAGTTGGAAAAATTATGGACTCCATAGACAAGAAAGTTCATGAGAAATTAGATGAAGAAGAACTTGAAGATACAGTAGAGAATGCAAAACCTTTGTTCGAAGAAGAAGTTAGAAAAATGCATGAAAAACAAATAGAACATGAACGTGAGATATGTTCTGGTTATAGAGACTCGCCATACGAACTAGACCAATGGGAACAAGAAGATTTAAAGAGAGAATTTAGAGAATATGAACTCGCTAAGATAGCATTTGAAGCTGCAGAAAAGAAGTTAAAAGTTTGGGGTCGTTTTGTACAAAAATATTGTGAGTAAATGAACCATTTTTTTCGACAAAAATATATTTTAGGTGAAGAGGTGAAATCTCACCTCTTTTTTCACCTGTTTTTTCACCCTCATTTCTACCACCGTAGAAAACACACAAAACTCTTGAATTTGTTGCTGAACTCGACAAAAATATATTTTAGGTGAAGAGGTGAAATCTCACCTCTTTTTTCACCTGTTTTTTCACCCGTTGGATTTTCATGAATTTCCTTAAGATAAAAAATATATTTTAGTTTTTTATAAAATATTTTTTTTTATTTTTATTGTAAGAACATGTTAGCAACAACTTCACCAAACTCGTTAGTTATGAATCCTACGTCAATGTTAGTAGAAATGAAAAGCTTCATTCCTTCTTCATATACTTTCGAAACAGAAATCCAGAAGATAAAGCAAGAACTGTTAACAAGTAATTTAGACTGTAGTGCGAAAGATGAAGAAAATGAACAGTATCTTTATGAAATGCAGGACATTATTGACCATCTACCTAAACTACCTGAAATCCAACAACAAAAACTCACTATTCCAGAATTCGATGAAATAGAAGTCGGACTGACTGACTCGGTAGAAATAAAGAAGTTCATACGAAAGGTAAATTATGAATTCCTTGGTTTTCATTGCAACCACAAAGTCATGGACAAAGACTGCGATATGGTATATAAGAACATCTCTGACATATATAAATCTGGGGAGTTTAAGACCTACGACAACTTTGTTTCGTTAGTTGCAAAATGTGTATGGCAGATAAGAGATAAAGATAGTAGGGGTAAGGTATGGAACGAACAGATAAGACCAACTGCTTCAGATTTAAAGAAAACCATTGACGCCTTAGTCGTACTTGCAGGTAAGGTTTCAATGTACAATGCAAAAATGAACCCGCAATGTTCAAAATGTAAAGCAGCAATGAGGAAATATAACTACTCCGTCAAAGAGATAGAAAGAATGAGAAACGACTATGCAGATTTAAAGAAAGAAGCAGAAAAGCCAGCAGAAAATAAAATGGACATGTTAGAATTTCTGAACAAAAACTATCCAACAGCAGACGATTTCCTTCTATCTGATGTCAAGAAGAAGTATAAAGAAACTTTCGGTATCGTTAAAACATTTGACATACTAAAAGAAGAAATAGAAGCTACGAAATTGTTTAGGATTTCAAATATACATCGTACAATTCATGTAAAACGCTTGTGAAAAAAGAGGTGAGAAAAGAGGTGAGAAAACGGGTGAAATCTCACCTCTTCACCTAAAATATATTTTTGGGTCATTTACGCTCATTACGAAGTAGTCTTGACAAAACATTTACGATGAAATCATGAAAATTCATGAGGTGAAAAAAGAGGTGAAAAAAGAGGTGAAATCTCACCTCTTCACCTAAAATATATTTTTGCTGAAAAAAATGACACTTTTTCATTATATAACTGTTATACAAGATAGAAAATCTTTCTCGCCTAAAACACATGAAAACAGTGAAAAAATGACCAAATTTCATTATATAACTGTATTTTTTGACGAAGAGAACTTTAACACTTCGTCAAAAAAATCCCTGAAATCATATCTTTTATACAAGATAGAAAAAATAAAGTTAGTTTTTTTAAAATATTTTTTTTTATTTTGTATGTAAGAACAGGAAATGTTAAACATTGAGTTTGAAACAGTTAGAAAGATAGACAATAACACCAAAGTGGTTAGAATAGGGGATTTAAACGTAAGATACTCAAAGAAATACAACAAATATTCTTTGTCAGACATTTTAACACTATCTGAAAAGAAAACATCCCACGACTGGGTTAGAATTGCTTCTACTCAGAAAATTTTGACAAGAAATCCTGAGCTTATGATATCGGTAAGATTCTATGGAACAAGAACATATCTCATCGACAAAAGTCTTATACCAGTAGTTTTGTTCTGGTTAGACCCAGTTGTTGGATATAATTTCATAACATATGGTTCATTCGATACTGAACGTTGCAGTGAAGGCTTACTTTACATCGTTCAGAAACCGAAGGACTTCAATACAAAGAGATATAAGATAGGAAGAACATTTAATATAACTCAAAGATATGACAGTACAGTCAATAGAGTTAAGGTTGCGTTTGTTAACGATATGAGAGCTGCTGAAACAGAACTACTTGAAAAGTTTGAGAAATTGTATGGTGCTCCCACGAAAGGTAAAGAAACGTTTGAAGTAGATGAGATAGATAGTGCTATAAAATTATTTGACGAAGTTGCTGAAAAATACATGTAAAGCGTTTATTTTTGGTCTTTTATACAAGATAGAAAATAACGCTAATTTTATTTTTTTTTATTTTTTTATTTTGTATGTAAAGACAGATATGTCAACAACAGAGAACACAACAACTGCTATCGTTCATGAAGCTATAAATGAAGAATACGAGTACATACAATATAACAAACAGTTACGTCTCATTCGTTCGGTCAAAGACGATATGTACCAAATGAAAAGTATTTTGACAGCATGTTTTGCTCCAGATACTAAGAAACCACAAGACTGGTTTAGGAACCAAAGCACTATTGAACTATTAAATGAAGCTGAAAATTCGACTACGAGAAATCCCGTAGTCGCAAAAACTCGAGTGGGAGAAAAACCCCAGTCGCCAAAACTCTATGAAAACAGTGAAGAACAGCGACTACGAGAAAAACCCCAGTCGCCAAAACTCTATGAAAATCGTGAAAAATTGCCAAATGGTTTGAGAGGATATTATGTACATAGACTTCTTGTAAATAATGTGGCACAATGGGCTTCAGCTCGCTATTCATGGTATGTTTGTAAACTTCTTGACGAAATTCATAGACAAGAACGTGAAGAGCTAGAGAACAAGCTTGAAGCAAAAGACAAAAACATACAGAAAAGAATACCACGTTCGGTACCAAAAGGAAAGGAAAAGAACTATAAGTATATGATTTACACTGAAGAGATGGAAAATGAAGAAGACAGAGATATGGTTATGTTGCATTTAGTCAGAAGAAACAACAAAAGCTTTTACGACCTTGCTAAGATTTACAAATCTGACAGAAATTGGTTCTATCGCGAAAACTTACCGATTTCAATGACACCAAATGAAGATGTGAAACAAATAGTTCAAGATACGTTACCTCAAACACACTATGATATGAAAGGTTGTACAATACTTACATTCAAAGAAGATTTGCCATTGTTAAAGGAAAAAATAACAGAGTATTTTGACAACTTCAAACAAGTAGAGTAGATGAACCATTTATTTTTCAAGCTTGACACCAAAGATGGCTCAGGTAGCTCTAGATGGTAAATTGTCTTGTCCGAGTCCTTCTGGGTCTATGTCGGTCATTGTTTCAAGACAAGTCTTTTACTTTTTCAAGACAAGTCTTTTACTTTTTCAAGACAAGTCTTTTACTTTTTCAAGACAAGTCTTTTACTTTTTCAAGACAAGACCCGTTATTTTTCAAGAAATTTTTGGTGTAAAGTTCTCAAATTTGAGAACAGTGGTCTTGCTTGAAGACGATACCCGTACTTTTTCAAGACAAGTCTTTTACTTTTTCAAGACAAGTCTTTTACTTTTTCAAGACAAGTCTTTTACTTTTTCAAGACAAGTCTTTTACTTTTTCAAGACAAGTCTTTTATTGTTTCAAGACAAGTCTTTTACTTTTTCAAGACAAGTCTTTTATTGTTTCAAGACAAGTCTTTTACTTTTTCAAGACAAGTCTTTTATTGTTTCAAGACAATGTCCGACGTACCACCAACCGAGTCCATTCCAAAGCCAGAAGAACCGACAGCCCCAGCACCACAACAGACTAAGACTAAACTCTTTATTTTTATTGACTTTTTACAATTTGAACTTTGTTCGCGTAGATGTGAATTCTGAAAGAAGTATGAGGGTCTTGTATGACTTTGTACTTCTCCCATAGTTCATGTCTGTCAAACTTACCTGCCATGGACTCTTTCATAAGTTCCATGAAATCGTCTTCGGACAATCCAGGGAAAAGTACAATGTCAGTAAGTATTCTCTTTACATCCTTACTTAAACTCTTTGCTGTCTGTACACAAATGACAACTGAGATGTTAAAGTGTCTGAGCTTCTTGAGAATTCGACACATGTCTTGTTCTCTGTTCTTTAACAAAGGATGAGAAGCAAAGTCATCTAAGATAAGAAGACATCTGTGAGGGTAAGTCTTCCAATCGTAAGATTGCAATTTCTTCGAAATGTATTCTATCTCTTTCTGTTTGTTTCTGAAGTGTTTCTTCTCTAATATTCTCTGCATTTCCTCATTTGGGTCTTTAAACTTCGAATTTATATACTCATTTATAGCATTATACTTCAAAACCCTTCTTTGGTACTTCTTTATCCAATCTAACAACTCAGTATCCTTTATACATACTAACTTAGACTTCTTTATAATATCTTTGAACGAATTGACGGTTTGATCGAATTGACCAGAAGTACTACAAATGACTACTAACTCATAGAATGGGTTCTTCTCATCTAGTTCTTGTTGTTGTGCAGCCATTTTAAGATAAGTGAAAGTCTTGCCCGACCCAGGTGGTGCGATTAGACCTGTTATACCATTCTGAGCAAATAAGAACTTGTCATGTATAGGCTTTATCTGAGCATTTTCTAACTTCCTCTTGTTCTTATTTAAAACATTCTCAAATTTTTTGTCAATGTCAGCAAACTTTTTTTCTAACATATTTTTAGAAAAATTAAAATTTTTATCTTTTTGAAAATGTCTAGCGATTTCGCTATCTATATTCGAGACAAACTTTTCGACAGCAAAACATCTGTCGACCATAAAATCTTACATAGTGTAAACAAGAAAGGTGAATTTGTTCTAAAGTTCTGTTTCTGGGAATATGACAAGAACCATAAAACATTACAAAGAGCAGTCTTAAAATTTGTCAATGACAGACTTGTTGACAGAGATGACGCCGATTGGAAAGATGAAGTCCAACAAAAGTTCTTAGAATGCAAAGAAGGCACATGCGCTGTTCTTGAAGATGAAATAGAAAACAGAATAGAAGAGCTATTAAAGGACAAAGAACTTTTACATAAATATGGTTCTGAGAAATTTGACATAACTCCACCAGAAAAGAAGAAGAAGAGAGAAAAGAAAGAAAAGAAAGAAAAGAAAGTAGAAGAGAAGAAAGAACCTGAACCAGTTCCAGAGAAAAAGAAATTTGACATGTAAAAATAAAATTTTATTTTTAGAACATTTCTGGGTCAATGTCAATGTTCTCTTCCTCTTTAGGAGCAAACACTGGCTTAGACTCTAAAATCTTTTTACCCAATTTACCTTGAACTTCAACTATCTTAGACTCATAATATTCATAGTCGTCTGCTTTCTTTGGTTCATAAGGTATAACAAGCAAGTTTGTATGCTTTGCCTTCTTTAAGGTTTGAGAACCTTCTGTCAAAATTTTCTTTGACTGCTAACAAACCTTCTATGTCTAAGTCTTCAAATTTCGCACCATTTTTAGTCACAATAGCAAACTTAACTGGTTCGATGTTCCAAACTTTGTCAAATGTAGACTTTTCAAAATGGTAGAAGTAAACATTCAAATAAGCGAATGGGTCTAGTTCTTCTTTAACTCCTGACATATACTTGTTGACTGAAATATATTTCGTCATCTTTTCTATCGGATAAAAAAATATTTTTTTTAAAATTTACTCATAAAAATTATTTCTTTCTATATTTGCCATTCCGAACTTCGAAAAGATGTTTTATACCAGCATAGAATTTTTCTCTAGAGCTTAGTCTTATATCGTTTTCATGACAATATTTTCTATATTCTTCATATAAAGCCTTTTTTTCATACATTTCATAAGGACAATCTAACCAGAATAGCGCATATCTATTTTCGTTATCTAGGTCCTTTCCAACAAACTCAGCGTACATTTCAAATAAAATAAAAAAATATTTTTTAAAAATTTACTCATAAAAATTTTTCTTTGTATATACGCCGTTCTGTATGTCTAAAAGACTTTTGACATTTGCCAAGAATGTTCGTTTAGAAGCTGCCATATAACCATATTCTTGACAATACTGTTTATACGAATCGTACAATGACCTTTCATCTAAACACTCAAAGTTAGTCTCATCTATAAACAGTTCATATACACTCTTGTTTGCTTCTAACAATGTTTGTCTTTCTTCGGTATATGGAATTTGTCTTGGATTGAACTTAGAAATATCTAATGTCATGAAATATGAGAACAAGTGGTTGTAAAAGTTAGGTGTCAAAGTTTCTGCTAAGTCGTCAAAATATTCTGTATCTTGCATATGAGAATCTGACGTTCTGACAACTACATATCTTCTGTCAGAACTTTCTAACTTCATCGGAACAACATTGTTTGAAACCATGATGAAATTTGCAACATTTTCACAAACTCTTTGGTCTTTATATTTTCTTTCAACAACTCCAACTTTGTCTGTTATAAGACTCTTCAAAGCATCTGAGTTCAAAACTTTTGTTGTATCTATACTTTGAAGTTCATTGCAAACTATAAGTTTCATATTCTCTATTGAGGAGTTAAACTTGCCACAGATGTTTTCTAAGTTTGTCATATTAGGGTTTGAATAACCTTCTAACAGTTTGCATAAGATATCTGTAAAGAAAGTATTCTTACCAGTTCCTTGTTTTCCAATTATAATGAGAGCAGTTTCATTTTTAGCACTTGGATGTTGTAAGATGTTTGCAAACCAACATAAGATATACTCATAGACTCTTTCGTTTCCATTGCATATAATTTCTTTGACATGGTCTAACCAAGCTTCTATAATATTTTCTTTCCATTCTACTTGTTCGTATTTATATCCAGTGAAGATAGAATAGAAGTTTG